TCCTGAGACCCCAAGTCTCTATGCTTCCTGAGACCCCAAGTCTCTGTGCTTCCTGAGACCCCAAGTCTCTGTGCCTCCTGAGACCCCAAGCCTTTGTGCTTCCTGAGACCCCAAGTCTCTATGCTTCCTGAGACCCCAAGTCTCTATGCCTCCTGAGACCCCAAGCCTCTGTGCTTCCTGAGACCCCAAGTCTCTGTGCTTCCTGAGACCCCAAGTCTCTGTGCCTCCTGAGACCCCAAGCCTCAATGGAAAGCAGGCAGTTTTTCCTTCTCCCACAGATTGGCTGGTAGGTTTGAACCACCAACCTTGTAGTTAACAATCAAACACTGAACTCACTGCACCACAGGGATCTTTTTATTTATTCTTGGCACTATAGATTGAAATGTTTTTCTTTAATAGAATTGGTTGAGGAATAACGTTGTTAACATCTTTTACCTTTAAGAAGAATAGGAGAGAGATCTGTTGCAGTAATTAAAGAATTGCTAAATACAGTGTACAGTATCACTATAGATAGTACCAACCTGTAATTTGAAGTAATCAGAGAAGAATACGATATATCAATTTTTCCTCTTGCAAGTACATTTTTCAATGTTGGTAAGATCCACAGCTCTATAAATAAAATGTAAATCAAAATAAGTAATCGCTATACACTGAGTATTACAATTGCTTACAAATTTAAATAAAATCTTCGTTGTTTTGTTTCTCTAAAATGGAATCATGAAGTCTTCCAGATTAGCTTTTTTCTCTATGTTTATATGCAGTTTTAAGTTACTGAATCTCAAATATATTTAAACTATGTCAGTATTTTTGTCTATCCTGCTAATATAATTGACACAAACATTATTAACACATATTAGAACCTTATTTTAGTTACCAATGTGCTAGATTTATGATATTTAAAAGTAGTAAGCCATTTCAATAATTGCTTAAAGCTAAATGTATAATCCTTTTTAAAATTCAAAACGTGTTGCCTTTTAAGTCTGGCCCTTTTGAAAATTTTGACTTTCTAGTAGGTGTTGGAAATCTACAAAGGACGTCCAGCCAACGAAGTACCCTTACATACCAAAGAAATAATTATGCTCTGAACACAGCCGCTACCTACGCAGAGCCCTACAGGCCAGTTCAGTACCGAGTGCAGGAGTGCAATTACAGCAGGCTGCAGCACGCACCACCAGCCGATGATGGTACCACGAGGTCCCCATCAATAGACAGTATTCAGAAAGACCCCAGGCAAGTATCAGTTGTGCAACTCCAGAGGGTTGCATTATCACCAGGGGGCCTTCATTCTGGCTTTTCTTTAAGGTGGTAAATCTGTTATATCAGTAATTCCTTTCCCTTGTATACCAGCTACATAGGTAATTGAGGTTAATTTCATTTTAAAGATAGATTCCTTCTTTCAGCGCTTTAATAGCAGGTTAGAGAATGCACAGGTCTGTTTGAATATGTGCCGCATTCATCATTGAAATGCTTCACCAAGGCAACGACCCGGGATAGCCTCTTTGTCTGAATTACACAAAAGATTTGAAAGGATCATTTTACCCTTTTCTTCTTCTCCTGTGACTGACTTTTGGACAAGAGCTTCAGAAAATGTATTTGATAGTTACAATCTATGAAAGATCAGCACTGTGAACATTTTGAAGTGTATTGATCAACTCTATAGCTTTTATTAACTAGGTCTTTTCAAAAGCTTACTGCCATTTAGGAGAGATGGTTTACAAGAAAGTCTCTTACCTCCTCAGCACATACGAGTGTTTGCCCTTCACTTTTGGCCACGTAGAGAGCATTTTTATTAAGAGACAGTATGAGTCTTTTAATACTTGCTTAATTTTTGGGAAATTGGCCTTGTCTTTGATGAAAGTCACTTAATATATTTAGGAAATAAAGGAAAATATCTCAAAACTAAAAGAATTTTGCTTTCTGAAACAGTAAATTTGTTGCTAAATCTTAACT